ATCTATACAAACGCAAAAACTCGCAAAAGATGACAATTAAATTAATTAATGTCAACGATCTGGAGGATTTGTAAACTTAAATTAATTGTATCACAGTATGTTTATTCATGTTATTTTTGCAAAAAAAGTTAAATTTATATAAAATAATTAGTATTTGAAATATTTGTTTTGCCAATAGTTTTATGTAAAAAATACATTTATTATGTAAACATGTTTATATGTTATAAAATTACACGGTATAAAAATGCATCCCAAAAATGCATTTGATTTCTTCATTCTTATGGATATCTCATGACATGAAGTGAACAGAATCTCAGCGCACATATTGCATGACATATCATGAGTACATTTAGACATTTAGTGCGATAATTGACACTAGATACTCAGGTATTTGACATTTGGTACAAAATATGTTTTTTAAGTTTCTTATAAAACATACAATTAATCCTTTATCTCATCTCTATTTTCAATATTCATTTTATCTCTAACTATAACGAAATTGTGTATTTAATTGTTCAATTTTTAAATAAGATGTTATCAAATATTCATTCAATTCAATGCATGCCTTTACACAAACCTGTTTATAAATATTTGATTTTTAATCGATAATTAAGATTATATTCTTAAATGAATTAAATGGTTATGATTTAATAAAGACACCATAAGTTACACGGATGTTATTATACTAATGTTATTTGTTATCTTATTATATAATATCATCAGATATTATAATCAAATTTGATGTATAAAATGACAGATGTTTGAAGTTCAATCTTTGAGCATAAGACCCACGGATTAGTAAAGTATTTAAGTGAATGTCATAATAAATATCATTGTCTTTCGATACTTGGATCAAAATGACTAAACTTTTAAGTTTACTGAAAGTTGTTTGCATTGTAGCGGCGATCGGTTCGACCCAAGGATTAGTAAAGTATTTAAGTGAATGTCATAATAAATATCATTGTCTTTCGATACTTGGATCAAAATGACTAAACTTTTAAGTTTACTGAAAGTTGTTTGCATTGTAGCGGCGATCGGTTCGACTCAATCGGCCGATCAATGCTTGAACTTTCCGTCGGGAATCCAGCGTATGGTCAGAGGTATTGATGTGACAAAACTGGATTTGTCTCCACAAGACTTGGCTCAGTCTAATGGCTTTCAGAGAGCACTCGTATCACGGCCGATCAATGCTTGAACTTTCCGTCGGGAATCCAGCGTATGGTCAGAGGTATTGATGTGACAAAACTGGATTTGTCTCCACAAGACTTGGCTCAGTCTAATGGCTTTCAGAGAGCACTCGTATCATTGACTTGCATTCAGGGCAAGAAATGGCAGCACCCCTTCGACCCAACCCTTGTCTTTGACATTCCCGATCAGGTCGACACCATTAACACCCTTCCCGGAGGTGTTCTCAACACAAAGGCAACTCTGATTGAAACCATTGAAGACTTTAAAAAGTCGAAGGGATTTGATTTGGGTCTCGATGTAGATACTGTGTCTTATGGTGCATACGGTGTGAGCGGTTCCTTTAAACAGGCACAGGAAGACCTGGTTAACTCTACCAAATCAATAGTTGAGGTATTCATAGTGTATTCAAATTTTATTTTGCATTTAAATACAGAAATATCATTAATTTTGATTAATGAATAGGTGTCTGCATTTGTTTCGGCCATTCGTGTCGATATGAGCCCATACTATGAGATCACACCAAACAAAGAGTTTCAAGACTTTGTCGAAAAACAATTGCCCGAAACTATAGCCGCAAACCCCGCCAAATACCAGGAGTTTGTCGATACGTTTGGCACCCATTACTTTGACAGCGCTTTCTTCGGCGGATTTGTTCAGCAGTCGATTGAATTGTCATCAAATCTGAACCTAAAGATGTCTGAGAAGGACATCAAAGGTATA